TTAATTAATTACATTAACTAATTATTTCTGTGAAAAAGCACGGAGATTTATAATTCCTTTCAATAATTTATTTATAAAAATTAAGTTAAAATATATTAAATTATATCTTTTTTATCTTTTTTATAACGAAATATTTATTTTTATTGATATTGAGGTTGTTAAAACAAAGATCTAGAACCAAATCGGAACCAAAAATCGTTTCGGAATCCTTTTTTTTAGTAAATCGAAACCGAAATCGTACTCAAATTTTGTATAACTGAAATCGTAACCGAACGGTAAATTTTATGGTTTTTTCAATTTTTAATTTTTTATCTTTATCCTCGTTCTTAATCTTTATTCAGACCATTCCTTTCCTTCGTCCAAATCACCAATGTTCCATCCAATATTACCAGCTCTCTTAAGATACCAGAATGTAAATATCTCCAATACTTCATATGATATAAGAAATCTGGCAAGATCGCAAGACATATTTAATGTAACTTGTTTTAACATACTATCATTTTTTTTATTTAGATCTTTCTCACCAACATGTTGCAAGAATTTATTCTAAGTCATGAAATTCAAGAATACATATGTAGACTTTATTTATGTAATAAATGAGATTTATCATAAGAATCAAATAAGTTGTAAGAAAGAATTGAGAGAAATATGACTAAAATAATGTTTACGTAATTTTTATTCATAGTCATGTGATAAATTGACGACTCTTTTCGATTAGGCTCTCTAGATTGAACTGGTAAACACGTTCTCTCTCTCTCTCTCTCTCTCTCTCCCTCCCTCTCTCTCTCCCTCTCTCTCTCTCTCTCTCTCTCTCTCTCTCTCTCTCTCTCTCTCTCCTCCTCCCCCTCCTTCTTCTTAATACAATAAATTTAAAGAATAAAACAATAAAACAAGTAAGTAGAACCGAAAAAAAAACCGTTAAAAAATCCATTAATTTTTACGATTTCGGTTTTCTTTACTGGTAAAAAAAAAACCGAAACTGAAACCGAACCATTTATTTAACATTTTATTAAACCGGAACCGGAATCGAATAAAAAAAAACCTTTCAGTCCGTGTCTTTTAACACAAGAAAAGTTCAGTTTTCCATGAAACTTATATCTTTCGAGATATTACCTCGATATTTTTTTCCTCACTCTGTATACACTGAAAAAAAAGTTTTTTTAAATCTAAGTAATTCATTTCTTGAGCAGTTCCAAGTAAACATTTCTTTACTGCAAGTAAATATTTATTAAATGTATATTTATTTTTAAAAGTATTTACTTGCAGTAAAGATATATTTATTTAGAA